CAAGATATATAGACTCAGGACCATTAGTTACTTGGCCCATTATTCATTTCAGCTATTAATATTTTTTATTAAATGTCTTGCCATTTTAAAGATTATTATTTAGTAAAGTTTGGCAGTGAATATGGGAGAAAGGTTGCGATCTCTTACCATATTTCGAGGCTAACATAATACTATTTTGGCTAAAATCTTAATCAGACTTAAAAATCGATCCAAATAGGACCGTTTAAGAAAACTACAGTAAACCCTATAAAAAAAACAATTGATAATTCAAATTCGTAAAGTGACTTGCTTTAATTTTTCTTAAAATATATATTATAGCCTAATTTATATTAAATCAAAGATCTATTTTGAATTATCATTCTTATTCTAATACAATTTATCATGGCATGAATAATCTGAACCATGCAGTACACTCTTCGTGAGAAGTAGTTAATGGAAGTTGAATTTGACATATTTTAATATCATATAAAAAGCAAGAGTAAATATATATCGAAATGAAAAAGTTGACTGAGAAAAGGATTTACTGCCATAATTATACTGCATAATCTGATTTCAAAAGATTAGGAAAAAAAAATACCAACTTTGTTTAATTTTGGGAATTTTCCAAGTTGCAGCATTACATCATTTTAATTGTTTTTCGATCATTTAATATTATTGTATACATTTATTATTAACCTTGAAAGATGCATTTCACATTAAAAATTAATTCTTTCGTCGCTAAGTTCCAAAATGAATGAAAAACTTCTAGAATGCACGACTAAATAACTATTTTAAAATTGAAATTGATTCACGACTTGTGAATTTTAATTATAATGTTTAATATTTCGAAATTATTTATTATAATTTATATTACGGTAAGAAAAAAGGCATCTACGTTTGGAACATGGTTTCCGAATATAAGTGTTTAAGTTTTAATGTCTGTGATTTTTAAAAAAATATATATTTATAATTTTTTTGGCAATATGAAATATGGCCTTGCTAAGGGATTGGGATAAAGTAAAAATAAACAATATTTTAAGGACAGATAATTGGTAAAATGATTCTAATTAATCAATTTTAAAGTCTCACAACAATTTAAAACAGTTTGACTAAATATATGGTCGGTTTAATTTAAAACAGTTACCAACAACCATGAATTTTACCAACTAATATTTATTTGTTATTCCTAAATCATGTAACCTGAAATATTTTTTTTATCATAATTTTGTTGCTAAATTAAAGAGTAAAATATGCAGTTGGATAATAAATCTATCCCATATAATTCAGAAACATAGCTAAGATAAGAATCAAAACTAGAGAAGCTTAGAGAAAATGGAAATAAAAATTGTGAGGATGATAGCTGGGGAACCAAGAAGGATAAGTTACGAAATATAAATATATTAGGAAATTTAAAGTTAATATTTATAAAAACAGAAATTATCGTGAATAAACTAATACTAGATGAGCTTATGATGAGAAAATATGAAAAAATGTCGGAAACTTAGGTAAGAGTATACAAGTGATGGGCAAACAACAGAGAGGCAGGTAACCTAATTTGCTCATAAAGTAATAGGCAATATTATCAAATATAAATTAAAATGGAAAGAAATATTAAGGCTTAGAAAACTAGAATAGAAAAACAAATTTTTAATAAATATAGCAACCGAAAACCGAAAATTTTTTTTGGAATGGTCGAAGAGAAGGGGTAATAGGTGGGTTTTGCAAAGGGAGGCGTGTAAGACATTGCTTTTAGATTTGAATAGAAATAAATATGTGTTATTTGATTTCAGATTATTATTTAATCAAAATAATATTTCATATCTTCTTATATTTTCAAAAACTTGTAGAATTTTGTAAAATCCTAAATATAACGATCCCTAAAGATCAAGTAATATTTTGTTGAAAATTATATCGTAAATTTTCTGAGGGTGATATTTTTTTCAATGATAAAAAAAATTTAAATTATTTTTATCAAATTTCTAAGAATATTGTTAATATATTATATTTAGAAGTGGGATTTTTTTTTTGTTATATTTCTTTCATTTTACTATGCATAAATTTTTCGTCATACAGAATAAATCTTATCTTTTTATTATATTAACAGGTTTAATTCCAATGAATTAAGTATACATATATATTTTTTATTAATATTATATTTTCGTTTTCTTTATATGGAGATAATTTATGTATATCAGCGACACTTTGTTTGGAAAATAACAATTTATGACTTTGAGGTAAAAAGGTTTTGTTACTATATATTGTGCCTTAAATAAGTTTTAAGGATCTCAAAAGACTCCATTAAGAATTCGGCTGACTGAAAAATCTATAATATTTAATCCAAATGGCCAATGATAGTAAGATTATTTCATCATATATTTCGTCTGTGTTGCAAAACCTCAAATTATTATTTATTATTTTTAAACAATATGCCAATCAAATGTTTGCAAATTTTTGATTGGATATTGATAAATGAAAACAATATTATTTTCGAAATACGAAATATTATTCATGATAATATTTTATGAAAGTTTTACGAATAAAAAAAAATTAAATTTGAAATTGCTTAAAAAGAAAATTTAAAATTAAATTAGTTAAAGTTTATAATTATAAATTACTAGGACCAAATAAAAACTAGACGAATAAATTTCTAATAAATTGAGGATAAGAAAGTTTGGATATAAATAAATTAGGGTATGGCTTCTTTTTAAAGAATTATTGAAATATGGGATTATCATAAGAGTTGAACTTTAATTCGGTTGAATAGGCTTGGGCAAATTATGGGATTGTGTTATTTTTATGATTATGTCTGCAGAAGAAAGGCCAAGAGAAATGTAAAGTGATAATAAAATGGGGGTGGGCACCAATACTCCTAAATTTAGGGCACTCAAAATAAGGACCAAAAATTTATATTTAAAAAGATATTACGGCCGGTTTTATCCTAATCAAGATGGTAAAAAAAGAATAATATAGGAGTAGCCGCAGAAAGAAGGGCTTTATATCTTTTATTCTCTCAGTAAATTTTAATTATTATACTAAACTAGAAGATCCAAGGTGGGTCAGATCCGATCTATAAATTATTGCAAACTGACTACGGTATAGTCAAAATAGGGCATAATTCACATGTTTAATAAACGTTAGGTGATGGCGTAAAATTTAATATATTTTTTTTCTTCTTTTATTTTATATTCTTAATCTATTATTCATGTTACACAGGCTACAAATGTTCCAGAAAACTTTTGGGGAAACTTACAATAGAATTAATTATGTGATTTATAAATTTAAATAATCGTTAATTTGTTTAAGGGCATAAATGGGTTTCATTATGATTTATTAATGTCATTTTTTTCTTACTTTATATAATTGTGATTTACTAATATTGTATTTTTTCCCAATAATTGTAGAGTAATATATTTAATTAAATTCGTAATAAAATTTTGGGTTCAGCTTTCAAAATCAGATGTCTATTTTTTTAAATTATAATACTAATAGAGTGCACATTTACAGAAAAGTATAATAATATACCAAATATTTAATAATCAGATATAAATTTCAAATTTTTATTCGATTTAATGGCTAATATATTTTACTTAAAATTTGGTACCAAAATTAGTGTTGTTAAACGAATTGATTTAGCCTATTTTTAAATTAAGATTTTGGAATCAAATTCCAAGCCTCAAAATTTTGCTTATGTCCAAGCCACTGTCACTCATTAGCAAAATCGCCAGGCTTGAGTTGTTTTTTGGCCTAATATTGTAAATTTTGATGTTACAATAAAATATATAAGATATACTCGTGAGCGGAAAATTTCTAATGAATAATATCGCTACAAATATTTATATGAAATTAAGATTAAAAATGATTAATTGTTAACCGATGACTGTAAAAACAAAGATTTTTAACCATTTCATGGTATATAATCAATATTAATTTTAAATTAAAATTATTGGTTTTGGTCACGAGGGAAATGAATGAAAAAAAAGCGGGCGACAATATTAAAAGTGTTATCAATTCAATTTTAGAAGAATACATTGAAATAGAAAATTATATAATATATTTGTGACTGATAATGGCACATATCTTATAAGCGATTTCAAGGATGATAAATCGAATCCATGATACAAAGTTTCTTAAATCATATGGCGAAGTACAGGTTTAAGAGCTAGCAAAAAGGAATTAGACAGATTGACGACAATTAATATAAGCAAAGCATCATCGAGCAAAATAATTTTCTATTTCAAAGATTACTCGGATCTTAGAGTTAATTCACATTCCACAACAAATTATCTAATGCAAATAAAAATTAAGTCACCTTCACAAGATTATTCAATAAACACGAGAAATATCTCTTATAAAAGTAAGATTTTTCCTGCACTTAAGGTATGCTTAATTCTAAATCCAAATTTCAAGTATTTAATTGAAGCAAAAAAGGTAGACATATCTACAACAACATTGTAAATGCTAAATGTTTTAAAATTCGATGATATGTGTAATGTATTAATATAAATATAAATTAAGCTACAATTTATTGTAATAGATTAAATAGATAAAAGACGATTTAGTAAAAGTATATATGGATATATATTTTCTTATTTTATGATTATGTTATGAACACAAATTAGTGGCATTTATTACGGCAGCAAGCTGCATCCCCTCAGTGGGAAAAAGAATTTAATTAGAACAAAGAATTGGCATTTATAACGGTAACAAGCTGTATCTCCTCAGTGGGAAAAAGAATTTAATTAGAACAAAGAATAAATTGAGTTAAGAACGTAAAAAATAGGAATACCAACCCCTCTTGGGTTTATTGAGTAAAAAGGGTATATAAGTTTATTAATATATTTGTATATATAAAAAAATATATATTCATAAATTTGATCTATTTTATACAAAATTATATATAATATTTATTTATAATATATTTTTTCAAAAAATATAAAATGCGCTAAAATTGGTTATTTTAAAGGTTGAACAAAACTTTTTTTTTTCAAGAAAATTTTGAAACCCACTGAATAACTAATTTTTTCTATAATATAAAAATAATATATCAGCGATTTAACTTATATTTTGAAAACAATATTTTGGCGATTTTTAATTTTTTTTTTGTTTATTTGGTGGGATAGGTTATTAAATATCAAATTATGTTTATTTACAAGAGAAAAGAAAAAAAAGGGGTTTAAAGGTCATACCCTAAACCTGATTTACTTTTCGTAACCACTAAGGTATTAAGATATAACTGCCCAACACAAAATATTTAGGGATGGTTGCATTTTATTACATTACTGTTTACGAAAAGTAAATAAGCCTTAAAACATTTAGGGCAAGATAAAAATGATAGAAAATAAAAACAAATACTGATTCCGTTTTTTTTTGATTGTATAAAACTGGCCCCGCATTCACAGTTAGCGCGAATTCGCGACGAAATATATAAAATATGCGCGAATTTCGGCCAAATATACAAAATGGCAGCTTATCCGTGCTAACGGCGAACGCAGGATAAAATGGAATATTGAAAAAAATATTTTAAAAAAATGTATTAATTAATTGTACAGGGGGGTGCATATTCAGGAACTAGTATTTAACAAACACAATTGGGAGAGTAGAAAAAAAAATATATTGGTGTACAAATTTTGGCCTCATAAATTTTTCTACTATTTTATTTTGCCATATTACAGCAACGATAAATGAAATGAATGAGTGAATAGAAGAAGTGAAAACGAATGTTATTATTATAAATAAAATACTAAAACTACTACTCAATTACCCTCGGACTAGTGTATTATTTATTTTTTTGAAATGGGGGGAGTTTTTATCGTGAGTGAATGAGAATGAATGTTGTGGGAAGGACATAATAATATGATACAAATTTCCCGCCAGTTGACAAATTACAATAATGTTGATTTAAAATTTTTTTTTTATTACGAGTTTTCTCATTTGATTTTTACGCGATTCTTAAATCTTTTACTTTGATGATTTGTAAACAATAACAAAAATATATTATAAGGGAAAGGTGTTTATTTTTAAGCGCTTAGATGTTTCGTATAAAAATATTATTTATAAAAGTATGGCGAGGATGAAAACGAAGAAGGTTGAAAGTAGCGTGACGCGAATTAGTGGCATCGCTGTTCGACTTCCGGCTGAGCTGAATATATTCCTGGTATGATGTGATCCTAAAAATATTAATTGTAGATATCATTTTCATATATTTTGGCAATTATTAAATATTATTTTTTTTAAAAAAATAATTAAAACTAGAGGCCCTTAGGGGCTGACCTACCCAGATCGGGTCGAATTTTCTAAAATTATGTAGCAGTTACAAAATCATATAAAAACCCGAGCTAAGTTTGTTATGGAAAACATTATCAAATCCGGACCGGGCTTAAATAGTCCATCTCGGCAAATCTTTGAAGATAAAAAAAAACTTATATTTTTATCAAATTAAAAAAAAAATTAAGTTTCATTATTACTCAAGTCGTGAGGATTATTTTTTATTTCTTTTTGTAATCACTTTTTTTTAATGTTAAAAAGGTCAATTTATTTTTATAGTTTATACCCCCCAGGGGAAAAAAAAATAAATTAAATATCGAGATAATTATTTTATTCTTAAACATATTCGCTGTAATTGGAAATATATTTTTTCTTTCAAATAAGAAATCAATTTGATTCTTATCAAGGTTTTAAATTGCTCAATTTAAAAATTTATGACATCTGAAGGATTACAAATTTGAGAATGCTTAAATAATTTTGGATCATATTTGTAAAAAAAAGAATCAAAAGAATTTCATTCGTTTGACTCTTAAAGATTTTTGCTCAAAAATTTTGGGCGGAAAAAATCTATGATCATTTGAAGATTCTTATTTAAACCCCGATTCTTAAAAATCTTGTTTTAAAAAAAAATTGTTTTTCGTTATTTACTGCTGCTATTCAATGGATCCTTGATGGAATTCGTCAAGAAAGAAAATCGTTTTGCCGTCCTTTCACTCCACCCATGCTCATTTTTGGCTACCATATCAACTTCGTATTCTTTGTTAGATCCTAAGCCTTCAATTGAAACAGAAAAATTGTACGTAATTATAATGATTGATTTCGAATATGGATTTCTAAAATGTTCATTTTAACCAGAAATGCATCTTTTTCATTTTTTTTGCCAATAGAACAGACACCTTACACCGATTCTTATATTACCTATATTCCGCCAATATCAAAGCAATTTAGCCTTGCTTCCGCCAATTTCACAAAATTTAGATTTTAGTTAGAAAAATATTGCCTAAGCCTCGAGATTTCGTTAATATATGCATAGACCTTTGTTGCTTCTATGAGCAAAATCTTCAGGCTTGCCTAGTTATTTTTTGGATGAAATATTGAGTTAGCCGTTTTTAAAAATCGGCTCAAAACGAGCCGTTTAACAACATTACAATTTAGCCTTGATTCCGCCAATTTCAAAACAATCTAGCCTTGGTTTTATCCTAACAAAATTACTCGAAACCTTTTTTTAAGGCTAAAAATATCTAGGTCATATAGTTGGTCAAGGTTTGATGATTTAACAAAACTACTTATTAACAACGTAAGCACGAAATAACAAATGACGCCAATGATATTTTTTGATAATAATTACTTTCTCCTTTTTTTAAAAAAAATGCACTAGTTAGATTAGAAATATGTAAAACCCATTTAAAAAAATTTTAAACGGGAGCTTGCTGTAAAGATTTATTAGATAGTTAAAAAACGGCATGAAAAATTTTTTTAAAAAAATTATAACGGGTCGTGCCGGTCAACAATGGAAGCGTGGATAGAAATAATATTTTTTAAATTTTCTGAAAAGAATAATAATCAGACAAAAAATGAGGAAGCACGGGAGAGGGAATGATCTCCGTGTAGTTGGCCAAACATTTGGAAGCATTAATGATGAATCATATATCATTTTTTAAATCTGTATAGTAGCCGAATTTAAGGAAAATAAGCAAAAATACTTGTGCCAACTTCACGCTTTAAAGCACTAACGTTGGAACTTATATCATTCTTTAGTGTTTCGTTAGTACAGTTAGTAATTCAATCACTTTTGTAGCCGAATTTAAGAATAAAAAGTTATTTGCGAAAGACCTTTTTTTTTTTAAAAAAAAAATATTTTGTAAAAAAACAAATTTTTAAAAAATCAATTAATAAAAATATTTTATTTGTAATTTGCAAGAAAATATATTAATATTATTTTTTCGACAATTCAAACTAATCTTAAGGAAGACGTTTGAATTTTATGGCAGTAAAAATGAATATTGATATCCGATATTTGATATGCCCGGTATTCGATATCGGTGCATTTTTGAGCAAGTCAAAAAGTTATTAACTTATATTGTGATATAAAAGTTTACCGACAAAATTTCACGAAAAGTATAGTGGTATTAAGTATTTACACCCCTTAAATACAAAATAATGTCTCGTTAAAAAAAAAATTAAATATCGTGAGAAACATTTTGAAAAAAAACTACCAAAGCCCAAATTTTGTAAAAATTAAGAATTACCGATCATTTTAAAGGTTTGTTGGTAATGGTCCTGCAGCTTGGAATTTGCTGGGATTTTTATCTCCTTCAAGAATTTTCCATTGTTAGGCTTAATTAAATTTTTTTTGAAATTAAATATAATCAGTAAATAAAATGCTATTTAAGCTTGTCTTCTAGTTTTGTTTTTTTCACCCGCTTTTTATTCATTTTTTCGTTTTTTTCCCATTCTTTATTATATCTCTAATTACGACTTTAATTGGTAAAAAAAAGAATATTAATTTTATTAGCATAATTCTACTTCTGATATGAACAATTTGAATTCGAATAAAGGTGTGTGAGAAACGGTAGAGAAGTCAACGATGGCAGAATTGTCCCCGTTATCTTCCGCGATGTCCTCAATTTTAATGATCGTGACTATTTCCGGAATTCCTATATTATAAAACAACGTTAGGAATAGATAAGCATAATTTAGGTCAGAATTAAGAAACTCTGTTTATCGTTAAAAAGGTTATATACACTTGAAAAATTCAAATTATGGTGAGGGCCAATATTATAAATAAATCCGGAAATTTTTTTAGACATATTTGTATTATAAAACAAGTTGAGAATAAAAGATTATAAACTTCATTTTTTTTCAAATGTTTAGAATATTTAATTGTAAAAGTCAGACGATATTCCAATGAATTTTAATTTAACAAAAAAAAAACTAATAGATATTAATATCCCAAATGTATTTGCTTGATTGGTGTAACCAAGGGGAAAGAGCATGAGATGTCTCCCGCCTCTCACTTGAAAAATTAACAAGCTAATAAAAATTGCCCCATCTACACTAGCCCCAACCCCTTCTTCTCAAAAATGAATAAATTATCTTCAGCATAAACAATATTTTTTTAAATAATGATCATAATTGACATTTTTATTGTAAAAAGGAGTGTAAAATGTAATCACGCCAAAAACCTTCAAAAAAGCGGACCTAAAACTTTATAAAACAACTTCTTATGAGAAAGGGGGATCCAAAATCTTTGCCAACCCCTTAAGAATATCCTGGAACGCCTACGGTTGATTTCATTCTTAAAATATTCCCGTTTTAAAATCTTAAATAAATGAGACATATTATATTTTGTAATATGTGAGCATTATGGCAAAAAATAGAAGGCCTGGATCATCATCTAAACTCCCTTTATCTATACATGATCTCCTGGAGACGTGAGGTGATAGTTTTAGGCTAAAATAACTCAACCAAGCCATTTTGGATAGGCTAAATCTAAACGGATTTATTTAATCAATGACATATTCATAATTAGAAAAACCTCCTAATGATACACATTATATGTTAGATTTTTTTTCAAATAAGATGCTTTTATTCATTTGTGCTGAGGGGGGGGGGGGTGATAATATCGTTTAAATCTCTGTTTAAAAAAAAATGAACAAAATTCGGAGATAGGACAATAAAATACTTTACTAAATTATATACCTTTAACGGTAAAATTGCCGGAGACACTTCCCAGCGGGTTGACACCTAGGCAAGTGAATATGGAATCGAAATCCCCTTTCTGCGTTCTTTCAATGATCAGCGAGCTTTCCACCAATACGTTCGGTTCTGTATCGAAATTTTCTGGGGGAATGGGTGGATGATATTTACAGAAATGAGCATTATATAAAATTAAAATTAACCAATATATAGGCATGATGAAATATATTTTTAAAAAAAATGAATATTAGTAGAGGACGAACCCGCCATAATACTTTATTTTCCACATCTGAAAAAAAATAAAATAAAGAGTATTTTGATTCTTTTTTCCTTTGGTTAGAGGATTTAAAATAATATTTTTATTATTACTAGCTTGAATGAGGGTACCCGTGTCGATTTGTACGGGAACGTTGTCCTTGAACCAGGTAACGTTAACAGCTGGAGTAGCTCTAAATTTACAGGTTATCGTCATCATTTTTTCCAGGGCGCCGTTTACGTATGGTTTTGCATCTAGAGTTGGGGCAGCTAAAAAATATATGTTTTAAGATGATATCTACAAAAAAAAATAGAGTATAACTTTATCAGGTTTGAAAATCTATATTTTATTCCTCAATTAGATTATAAGCAAATTCTTTACCCCCCCCCCAATCCCCTCCAATTATCCCCATTATAATATCTTTCAAATTTCTAAATTCAGGAATATACTTAAACCATCAAAAATACGTTTTTTAAGATTTCCCATTTCATATTGAATTCACAATAATAGATGCAGTAATCACTTCTATAGCCTAAAATATCCATATCGGATATAGTTTTGCATCTAATGATTTACAATCTCCTTACTTTTGGGCGCAAACCTTTCTAGATCCACTAAGTCAATATGCTAATACCCCCCTCTCATCTGTTGACTAAAATATAAAATGATTCAATCATACGTCTACCAAATTGTCAACATCTAAGGGGGGGGGGGGGGTCCTCTAGTTCTTTTTACTAAAATTTTCTTTAAAATCTCATCAGTTTTTCAAAATAATTTCTCAACAATAAAAAAAATCTTTTTTTTTGTCAGAAAGAGGGCGCTATGTCTAGATATATTAAAATAATTCTATCATTTTTTTCCCAAAATAATATTTCCATTATTTTTCAATCTTGGCAAATATGAAAATAGGTTTAAAAAAATAATGAAAAGCAAAACAGTGCGTGATTGCATTCATCATAAATTAGATGAATATTTAAAATAGAATACAATATATATATTTTTTTAAAAATACCATATTTTTTTTTTGGTTAAGAAATTTTCTCAAAAATTATAAAATGGGATGAATGATAAATTAAAAAATCATAAATTAATCATATTTTTATATGCCCATTTTTTACTCTATTTTTATCTTTATTACTATTTTCCTTTTTAGTATTAAAATACTTCAACATCATTCTTATATCTCGTTAAAATTATTAATCATCGGGTAGACAGAGAGGCCTCCCTGGGCTAGCAAAAAATCTTGCCATTCTTGCAATACTGTTGAATGAAATTAAAGAAGTAGACGAACTTTTTCAAGAAAATAAATATATTTTCTCACAATGGACAATGATGGTGATTTTTCCCCGGCTTTCGCCAAAGCCGTTAACGGCCTTGCACTCGTAGAGACCCTTGGCATCGAAGTCTACAGAACTCCACGCTAATTTGTTGTGTTCGAGTCTCATATCCTGGAGGGTAGAGTCGCCGCTATCCTATTATTTTTTATTTCATTTAAACGTTTAGGCCAAGAATATATTTTTTTTAATTTATGCGCTCTACTCTACTCAATATACAAAAAAAAATAGCCTCTGCATAGGACCTATTTTATCCAAGTTCGACCCGACATTTTATTTTAGAAAAGTATTATTAAGCCCCTAAAGACAAATACAAAAATTTTTTTGTCGAGGTCCGGAGTAGTGTTTAAAAGGCTCGATTTGAGCCGATCTTTAAAAATGGCTAACTCAATATATTATTCAGAAAAATATTACGGACGCCTGAATATTTGCTTATAGATGGCACAAGGGTTTGGACATGTATTAGCGAAATCTCAAGGCATAGGCAATATTTTTCTGGCCAAATATGGAGTTAGTCGTTTTTAAAAATCAACTCAAACCGAGCCGTTTAACAACACTAGTCCGGAGTTCAGAAAATCCGAAGATCCACATCCCGGTATTTTGTCGATTCGAACACGGATTTCTGAGTGCAAAGGCTCTAATTGATATTAAGATTATCTAAGGGAAAAATAATCTTGATCAAATTTTAGGTTTCAAAAAAATATATTTATCAAGCATATTGCCATAATTAACAATTTTTATATTTTCCTGAAACTTTAAAGTCTATCATCTCATTTTCATATTTTTTTTAAACCTTTTTTGACCAAAATATAGGTGTATCTGGCAACGAGTCAGCCAAGCATTGAACGCTCACGGGTTCACCCTTTTTGGCATACAGGATTTTGAGGTTTGGAATGAGAGATACTGCGGGTGGATCTACATTTTTTTAAAAAAATTTTGAAAAATGATTTTAAGATTTTGGTGGGATCTAATTTTCTCAAGTTCTAGGTCATTCGTTGATCATCCTAAATGGCTCTAGGTCAAACATATTCAATTTATAGAGTAAATGTGTCCTGAGTCTAAAAAGTAAATGTGTCCAGAGTCTAAAAAAAATACTGAAATGTGCCGAGAAAGCAGACTCTAACAGGGTGTCCTAACAAGTTTTATCGCTAAAGCAAACCAAATTGTGACTTTCAATTAAATTTTATCGTTGGATTTTTAATATTTCATTATTTCTATCAAAGACAGCGTTTGTTTACCGTAAACTTCCAAATTCGTGTCGAACGATTCGGGCTCGTTGGAATTGACCTTGCAATTATAAACAGCTGAATCATTTTTCTGAACGTTTTCCAGCAATATGTCCTTGCCGACAATTTTTGACTTGTTGATAAGAATTCTGCCCTTGTTTATCATGTTGACCACTACGCCAGATTTCTTCCATATGATAAGGGTGTCGTTAAAGCCTGGAATTTTTTTAATATTTTCAAAAGTATATATCTTGAGAATCCAAATTACGAAAAAAAATAACCATCAAGAACCTGCAATACCATTTATAGATTACAGTTCCGAGTTTTTAATGATCCGGCTCAAAGTTTTATATTTTTCCGGTCCTACCTTCGGAAGTTTTATCCGCTGCTGGGCCGGAAAACCTTCCTAGAAATCACAAAATTACCGGTCGGATGGTCGTTGATTCCAAACGCAGAGAAACATATATCCGTTTAGGGTTTCAGAAATTTTTCGCAACTCGAAAGCGAATCATTTATTCGACACAAAAAAAATCAAAAATTATTAATTTAAAAAAATTACCTTCATTTAAAAAACATTACACAATTTAAAAAGAAATAATACACTAATTTAAAAGAACATTACACTAATTTAAAAAAAATATTTCATTAATTTCAATGAGAACTTTATATGAATCTAGGATAAAATTTTTACTTTCGTTTGGAGGTCCGCAAGGTATTATAACGGTGGTTCCACTTTGAGCTATAGTTTTGCTGCTCGTAACTTTAAAAAAAAACATGTGATATAAGTAAATGTCGGGTTCAAATTAATATATACACTAGGAAAAATGAGCCTTCGATATTTTTAATTTTAAACTGATAAAATATTTGAATCTATTTGAGTTTTAATAAAATTGTTAAAAAGCATGGTAGTATCGAAAGTTTCTCGATTTGACTCGAGTAATGGCAATCGTTAATCAAATACCGCTATTCAAGTCAAACCGGGCCGGATTTACCATGAGTCGAACCCGGTTTACAAGACCCTAATTTTTTTTGTTTTATAAAAGATTCTACGGAAAAGTTTTTCCCATTTTTTTTAAGAGGAGGTAATTTTTCCCGTTAACAATCATATATATACATACATTATTATTGTTTATCAAAATTAGCATCAGGTTTATCAATTATAAATTATGATAACTGAAAATGAAATATTATACTTATAAATACACTATATATATATATATACATAATAAACAGAACATTAAAAAAAATTCATTAACCACAAAATCGTCTGATTCCAGATATTATATCATAGTTTTATTTTTAATTCCTTTAAAAAAGTTTGTGTTTTTTGTTTTTGAAACGCAGTGGGGGTTTTTAGATTTTTTTTTTTTGGAAGCATGTTTTTTTTTTAAAATAAAAACTTTCTTACAGTGAGGAATTAAAACTTTGCCTTGTTTAGAAATTAATATTTTTTTTTAGAATTAATCAAGATTAGATTAATTATTTTTATTTCTATAATTAAATGAAAGGGAAGGCGTGGTTGGAAGAAGAAAGATGATATATTTTTGGGACCAAAAAAGAACAAAAACTGATTATAGAAGGTAAAATTTGAAAAGAATGATAAGCATAGGGTGGGAGGCTGGGAAAAAATAGGGATCTCAGATTTCTATCTGCTAGCTCGCGAGCAAGATTCTGCGGCAAACATTGCTTTTAAAATGGAGGTATCATCTAATTTGAAAATTCGCGGTGCAAAAGGCGCCCAAATTAGACAAGTATCTCACTCTAATTAAATTATAAAAAAAATTCCCCATATTTTCGGCGATAAGCTGTTGCTTCGGTAATACAATAAAAAAAAATTTTTTAATTCAATTTTTTTTCTTTTTAATAACTTATTTATTAATTATTTAATTTTTAATAAATAGTATGGTAAATTTTGTTTCATTTATTACTTTTATTTTTAATATTTTGTTTAATATAAATGTATATATATTACAATGAACTTTTTTTTTACAAAAATAAATATTTTAAAAAAAATCATTAAGGAAATTTATTGGGATTCGCTTAATTGAATTACAAAAAGGAATATTAAATATTAATTAAATTATACTAAATATCATGATAAATATTTAAGGTGTAAGTGAGACGACAACCCCCTTATAAAGATATGGTGCGTATTGAGTAGAGTTAAATGTAAAAAAAAATGATATTTTGAGAGATTTAATATCACTATAGCCAATAAAAACAGGAAAGCCAACGCATAGGGCGGAATTTATAAACAACCGATATTTGGGGAGGGAGGGGGGATTTGAGGTAAGGCCAGAATTTGATAGAGTATTAAGATTATGCGTATAATACACAAATTTCCCACAGAATCGATATTCACCCAAAACCGATAACTGTGTCGGTTGGGTCGGGTTTAAGCGGATACCGAATATCGTTTTAAAATATTATAAGACAGTCAGCGAGGAAGGGGAAGGGGTTATTAAGCCTAATGAAAAATTTCCCCTGAAACCGATGGAAAATGTAGTTTTTGGATGCCCGTTAGCAAGCCAAAATAAATGGATGACATTTTTGTTATTCGAGCTTTATCAATTTATTATTTTAAAAAAATGATTTTTATACATTTCAAAGGCCTATAAAGATCAGATTTTCATTTCCCCATTTTCCCCGAAATATTAAAAATTACAATTTTAAAGGGTGATGTTTTCTATATTTTATAAAAATATTATTCCGTCTCAGAAATATAAGAACATTTAATAAGATTACATCTTTAAAGGAGACCCTGGCCAAGGTTCGTAATTGGAAGTTATAGGGGCGAAGCTAACCCCCCCCCTTCCTTCTTATAAATAGAACCGATTGAATAAAATTTTCGAGGCAGCAGCATCCCCAATCCGCTTCTGGCTCCATGACGATTAGCTAATTATCAGATGCTAAACGATCTTAACAAATTCCTACATGTGTTTGTACAAAGATTCTTATTACCATTACTAAAATATCCTGGAAAATCATTATTTTTTAATAATATAAAAACGACATCGATTAGATATATAAAAAAACCATCATTTTATTTGTTTTTTGAAGCAGCATAATAACGCCAATTAATCCTATATTTAACATTTAGTCCATCGTGGCACAAATAGAAGCGTACAAAAGACAATAACTTAAAAAACTTCTTTTTTTTAAAAAAGATATTTTTATAATTACTCAATGAAGCACAAAAAAAAATTCCCAATTTTGTGGTTATAATAATCTTAAATATAAAATGAAGTCAATCAACGCAGTCACTAATCTTAAATATGGATTAAAAGGCCATAACTTCATAATCCCTTTGCATTCATAATTTGTTAATTATATATATATATATAGTTATACATCATTTATAGTTAGATGAATGAATGAATAAAATAATAACACCAATACCAATAACAAAATTTTTGAATTTAAAACTCGGAATTCATAAAAATAAAAATGATTATTTAAAAAATAAAACGCAAATTTAAAAAAAAAATGACAATAATTTATTACGCGTTCCTCGTTGAGTTTTAAGGAGGATAAATTTTTATTTTTAAAAAAAAAAAAATTCAATTGTCATTTTAACGTATTTTGATTATAATGATAATTTAAAAAAAAAAAATTGTAAGTCAATGACTGATAAACATAATTAATTTAACAATATATTTCAAAAAATTAAACGAATTTTTTGCATAATCGAGCATAAAGGGAAGTTAATTTTAGCTGAGACGGGTGGGGCTCGCCCAACAATTTACACCAGAGGGTAGGAAAGGTTACATATCCATCCAGGGATACAGAGTGCCTATATCTTGCAAATAAAAAGTGGGACAGAGCTGGGATAATGGAGGCATTTCCGTTTATGGAACAAAGAAAAGTGTGAGTGTGTAGATAAATTTTGGGTAAGTAAATTTAGTGACGTTAAACGCTCGATTTGAGCCGATTCTTAAAAACGGCTTACTCAATATTTATCCAGAAAAATATTACGTAAGCCTAAAAATTTTGGTCATAGATGGAACAAAGATTTGGGCATCTATTAGCAAAATCTCAAAATCGGCTAAAATCGAGCCGTTTAACAACACTAGGTAAATTGTATTTGATAATAATTTAAAAATAGAAAATAATCAATTTTGCAACTTTGTAAAAAAATAAATAAATATATATTCTTCATATTTTAATTACATTATAATTTTATTTTTTTTTAAAAAAAACACCAATGACAAAAGATGGACGTCCAAATATTGATAAAATAATCAGTTATTATATTTATTTATTCATTCATTCATTTTATATTTAATATTATCGATTGTGTGTAAACTAATTAAATCTGTTTTATTCTGTATTCATTGGCAAAATTTTGTTATTTTAGGTTCTTTTCTTCTCATTATTATAAATATTTTAAAATATACAACAAAAAAAATACCGAATAGGTCATCGAGGTGGCATCTGTCCCTTTTTGCCACGTGACAAAATGCCCCTTTATTTTTTTTAAGAAAAATTTATTGACGCAGTGTAATATTTTTTATATAATACAAATCTATTTTAAACTAAAAGCATACGTAATAATAAATCGTAATAACATTATCTGATATAATTAATGTACTCTCAAATAAAAAAATATATCTAATATGTACAACAATAACAATTTCAATCTAATCGATTGTAAAAATAATATAGAAAATTATATATACTTATTTAAGTCTCTTTTGTGATTGATTATATTTTGTCATATTTTTTTTATTATTGGCCAATAAAATTCTTAAGAATATTATACAATTAATGAGCCAACAATCGATACAATTACATTTCTTAATAACAAGCATGATATGGGGTACATATAAATATAATTTCAACTAATTTTGCTATCATGTAAGATATACGATATTTAATTATACATTCGCTATTAAGTGCTGCTGCCGCCGTCTATATGAATAAATTGGTAGACTGATATAGTTAGTTTTCTTTTTTTAAAGAATGGATAAAATATATTTCCTACCATATACATGATTTGAATGTGACGTGATGAAAGTATAAGGTTAAATTCATTTGCATATCATTTTTTGCTGGGGTTGATAGATAAAATTAAAATTAGATAAGATAAGGATAGAAGGAGGAGCATTATAATCTAATTACATTTCAAATCGGCTTGTTAACCAAATATAAATAGTTGATATTTATTAATATAAAGGGTTATTAAAAATGTGGATTATTTCGAAACCTCTGCTTCACCTGTAATATATTATAGAAATTGAATTGATAGGAGCTTAAGACAAAAGTGAAAATGTAGCAGATAAAAAAAATAAAATAAATATAATTAATTATTTAAAGGAAATTATATTTGTGCGTCAATTGAGCGACATCAAATTTTGAGGTAAAATTTAAATATTTTTTTTTAAACAAAATGATTAATGACTAAGGATAAAGAATGGAGGCATTAATTTAACTAATTATCGATGGACGAAAAAATTTTAGAACATCTGTCCAGGTAAAAAAAATTATAATTTATTTTCAACGATTCATTAAAACGAACAAAGTTTATATATACTTTTATTTTATTGATATTATAAATTATACATCCTAAATGTGTCTAATTAACATAAAATGATATATGATATAGGCAAAGCAATAAAAAAAATGAGAGAAGTAATATTTGATTGTTTTAAAACAAAAAGAACAATTTGTACGTACTTCTTGTGATAAAATGTCGTCTGTCCTTATTTTTATTTTTTATCTTTTAAAAAAAAGCAGACGATCGTGAAGTAAATTAAATAA